TCTGTCTTCTGGTTTTCTTGTGAATTGGTGGTTGCATTAGAAGTGTGATCTGACTCTGGTTCAGCTGCTTTGGCAAGAGTATTCCACAGGTTGAGGGTGTTCTGTCTGGAGTGCCCAGTATCTGGTTGACTTTCCTCTCGGTGTTGGCTTTTGATCCAATCCCTGGATCCACTGGGTTACTAGGGTTGCAAAATGATTCCTGCCTTTTGGCAGAGTATTGGTTCTTGTTTTGTAAGTAGACTTCAAAGCTTTTTGGTAAATTTACCAAGTTATGCTGCATCACCAGACCATTTCCATCACCCCAGTAAGATCCCATGTTGTTTCATTTTTGGCCCCAGACAATTACTCATCTGATGTCTCTCTCCATTTGCCTTTTCTGGATGTTTCATATAAACCAAGGTATACAACAGGTGGTCTTGTGTGAGCACTGGTTCTTAACCTTTCTGTGCATCTGAATCCCACGGGGAGCATTTCCAAAACTTGGGTTCATGGGAACCGCCCTGGAAAGATTTTGATTCAATTGATCTTGGATGGACCTGAGCAGCAGAGTCTGGAATGCTTCCAGGGGATTCCGATGTGCAGCCCAGGGGGAGGGCCCTCCTTTCTCAACTTACCTCCTCCATCCCTCACTTCCCGTGCCCATGTGGCTTCTGCCTCAGAAACAATCTTCCATTTGCCCCACCCCACTCCCACCCCACCCCGGCTCTTCCATTGACTTCTGCCCAGTTCAGAGCTTCCTCACTTTCTGTCTGGCCAGTTGCCCCAGACTCCTTTTGCCTCCCAACCCATCTCCAGTTGATAGCTGAAGTGACCTTTCTTGAACTAAGTCATAATCATACCATTCCCTCCTTTAAAATTCTATGATGGCTCCCAAGATTTGTCCAAAGTTCTCAGCTAATTGGTTTAGCCCCTTTTTCACTCTGGCCTCAATCTCGAGACATTTCTCCCATGAATCCTCCACAGCCCTCCCTCACCTCCTTTATCTTCTTGCTTCTGAACGTTGAGCACTTGCTCTTTTAGCGCGAAGTGTCTTGCCCTCCCTCCTCCCCACCCCCTCACCCCTGCCTGGCAAACATGACTCATCCTTTAAGACCACTAAAACTCCCCGCTTCCTCAGGGACGTTTAGTCATCTCCTCCTCTTTGTTCTTGGTAAGTGCTTCATTTATCCCATCAGCAAACACACCTACTGTGTGCCAGCATTCCTGCTGTTGTTCAGTCACTCAGTTGTGTCTGACTCTGCAACCCCATGGACTACAGCACGCCAGGCTTCCCCGTCCTTCAGCATTTCCCGGAGCTTGCCCAAATTCACGTCTGTTGAGTCAGTGATACCATCCAACCATCTCATCCTCTGTCACCCCCTTCTCCTCCCGCCTTCAATCTTTCTCAGCATCAAAGTCTTTTCCAGTGAGTCAGCTCTTCGTATCCTATGGCCAAAGTATTGGAGCTTCAGCATCAGTGCTTCCAGTGAATATTCAGGGTTGAATTTCCTTTGTGTTCTTGAGGGTGTTAGAAATATAAACTCCCTGAATTTTCATAACAAGTCTATGGGGTTATCAGTGTTATTCCCATTACAGTTGGGACACAGAAGGTCCCTTGAAAGGCAGAGCCACCTGCCCAGGATCACTTAGCTAAATGTAATAGAAGCAATATTGGAAGCCATACTGAGTGGTCCTGGAGTCTGTGCTCTCATTCCTTCCACTGTGCCACCTCTCTGCTCAGATAAGTATCATCAAACACTTAGCTTTAAACGAAACAATATAAGGGGACTTCCCTGGTGGTCCAGTGGTTAAGACTCTGCCTGCCAATGCAGGAGACACGAGAGCTTGATCTCTGGTCCGGGAAGATTCCACATTCCTTGGGGGCAATTAAGTCCTGGGGCCACAACTATTGAAGCCCACCGCCCTGGAGCTCATACTCCACACCAAGAGAAGCCACTGCCTTGAGAAGCCTCTGAGGCACAACTAGAGAAAAGCCTTTGCAGCAACGAAAACCCAGTGCAGCCAAAAATAAATGAATAATTTTTAAAAATAATACGAAATTGTCAACATACAAGCCGTACACTTGTTTGGGTCAGCGTGCCAGGCACTTGGGCTATAGCAGAAAACTCAGTGGACCTCTTGGCCCCAGAGAGAAAACACCAGCAGAGGATGACATTGATGGGTGGACAAGGAGTTGGGTGAGCACGTGACCTGGTTTAGGGGGTCTGTGAGAGCCCCCGGCCAAGGAAGTGATGCCTAAGGGAAGATCTGAAGAGGACTGAGAGGTGAAGGGGGAGTCTGGGGTGAGGGTGAGGGAAGGGACTTCAGGGGGCAGGAACAACCTTAGAATAGGCGAAGCATAGAGGAAGGCCTGAAAGCTAAGAGAAAGGGCTGCCCATTCTGCTACCCAGCAGGTAGTACCTGGCACAGAGCAAGTGCTCAGCAAGGATTTGTCCAAAGAATAAATGAAAAATGGAAAGAAGTCAAGAGAGCTGGCACTAATACAATGAAAGTGAGGCTTTAAGCAGGAGAGCGATCCACTTAAATTTCCGTTTTTACGGTTTGATTTTTAAAGTCAGGTTTAATGAGGTATAACCACAGACAGTAAAATTCACCCTTTCCTGTGTCAACTTCTATGAATCATGACAAATGCATCAGTACTGTAGCCACCATCACAGACAAAATCTAGGTTAGTTCAATCACATCCCCAAACTGGGTGCTGCTCCCTTCATGGCCAGCCCCTCCCCCGCCCTCAGGCAACCCCTGGTCTGTTCTCTGTTGCTATCATTTTGCTTTTTCCAGAACATAGTTACATAGATGGACTCAAATAACATGTCGCCTTTTGTTTTTTTTTTGGCTGCGCCGGGTTTTCTTTGTGGCATTCGGGGTCCCCTGCATTGGAAGGCAAATTCTTAACCACTGGGCCACCAGGGAAGTCCCAGTGTATCGTTTTTTGAATCTGGCTTCTTTACTTAGAATAATGCATTTGAGATGTGTGCCTGTTGGGTGTACCAGTAGTTCATTTCTTTTTTCATTGCCAAGTCAAATTCTATTGTATACATGCATCACAGTTTGTTTACCTGATACTCACCAGTCCAAAAATTCAAATTCATTTTAAAAAGTAAACATCACGGCACCTGGGTCTGAATGGAGTGGGGGCCTTTGCATCCACCTCTGCTCTTTGTTCACTGGCCTTTTGCCTGGCTGGATCGTGAATGGTGGAGGCAGGACTGTGTCTTTTTCATTGACTTTGTTCCCAGCACCTAGCCAGGGCACAGCTGGCTCTGAGGAGGGAATGGGAAGCCACTTGGGTAGTTGTGGGGAAAAACATGGGGAAGGAGGGTCAGGTGCAAGCAGAGATCTGTGGCTGGGGTGGGGAGGGGCAGGTGCTTGGTTTGGGGAAAGAAGGGCTGAAAAAGAAGGACCTTGGGCTTCTCAGATGGCTGAGTGGTAACGAATCCGCCTGCCAATGCGGAGATGGCAACCCACTCCAGTATTCTTGCCTGGAAAATTCCATGGACAGAGGAATCTGGCAGGCTACAGTCCTTGGGGTCACAAAGAGTCAGACACAACTGAGCGACTGAGCAGGCATGCACCTTCTGAGTTGAGCAATCCAGACTGTCTGGCCTTAACTTCAACTGGGAGCAGGACTTCCCTGGTGGTCCAGTGGTTAAGATTCCATGCTCCCAATGCAGGGGGTATGGATTCAATCCCTGGGTTGGGGGGTGAGGACTAAGATCCCCACATGTGACGTGGCTAAAAAACAAAATCTTCAACTTGGAATGAAAGGAGGGGAAACAAAACTAAACAACCCCCTTTACAGGCTATCGAATTGTCACCCCCACCCGCTTCAAGCTAAGTCCATCTATAGCACCCTCCACGAGGCTGTAGTTTGTCTCTTGGCTGACAGATGGCAATGTTGCACCATTCTGTGGTCACCCCATTCATTTCAACAGACACCAGGGCCCGGCAAACCAGCGGGAAGGACCGCAGAGAGCACTTTGCCCTTAACGCTTAAAGGGCTCGCCCACACTCCTGAATCTCTGTCTCGAAAAGCAAAGGCTCAAACACAATCTCCCCATGTTCTTTCCTCGTTATACAACCCCATCTCTAGAGAGAAGGCGCGTTTTGGAGGGTAAAGGTGAAGGACAGATGCCCGTGACCCTGAGGTCCGGCCAGCCTCACTCCGCAGTTAGTTTGCTTTATGACCTCAGTTGACTTGCCTTCCCTTTCTGGGTCCTCAGTCTCCACGTCTATAAAAAGCTGAGCTTCCGGCTTTAAAATTCTTGGTGCCATAGAGAAGACAGGGATCAGAAAGACATACAGCTCACGTTCTTCTGGGAGCTTCAGCTAGTAAATAACCCATCCTTCTATGCAAGGCAGATGGAAAAGCCGCAGAATAACATTTTAGGTGGCTGCATGTCTCTTATAGTTGACAGATAGCTGTTGATCCAGCACTAGGTTTACCAGTTACAATACAGGGCATTCAGTTAAACTTGAGTCTCAGATAACTGACAGATAATTAAGAGTAAGCATGTTCTAAATATTGCCTAGAATATATTTATACTAAAAAAACTTTGATGTTTGTCAGAAATTTAAATTTAACTAGGGGACTTCCTGGTGGTTCAGTGGTTAAGAATCCGCCTGCCAATGCAGGGGACACAGGTTCGATCCCTGGTCCCGGAAGATGTCACATGAGCCCTAGCACCCTGGAGTCCATGATCTGCAGCAAGAGAAACCAGCACAGTGGTGCCCGAACACTGTAACGCGAGAGTAGCCCCTTGTTGCATAAAGATTGCACACGGCAATGAAGACCCCATGCAGCCAAAAATAAATAAATAAATTTAACTAGGTGTCCTGTATTTTTATTCGGTCCATTTGGCAACCTTGTTCAGCTTACAGGGCCTACCCAATGCCTCAGCCCCTCTCCCGGGACCCCCAGATCTTCACCCTGATTGGCTAGTGCCCAGTTCAGCCAGCTGTTAAATATTTTAACCATCATCCGACTACCAGAAAGGCAGCCAACATGTAACGCCATTCTCTCTCTTTCCCTCCCAGGCCTGGCGCATCTGCTGCCTCCTGCCACTCTGGCCGCCCTGGCAGACAGCTGGCTCCGAGAGGACTGCCCAGGCCTCAACTACGTGGCCTTGGTCTCGGGGACAGCCCCCTCGCAGGCGGTGCTGTGGGCCAAGTCTCCGGGGGTGCTGGCAGGGAGGCCCTTCTTTGATGCCATCTTTGCCCAAGTCAACTGCCAGGTCTCCTGGTTCCTCCCTGAGGGATCAAAGCTGGTGCCTGTGGCCAAGGTGGCTGAAGTCCAGGGCCCTGCCCATTGCCTGCTGCTGGGGGAGCGGGTGGCCCTTAACATGCTGGCCCGCTGCAGTGGAGTTGCCAGCATGGCTGCTGCCGCGGTAGAGATCGCCAGGGGGACCGGCTGGGCCGGGCATGTGGCAGGCACACGCAAGACTACACCAGGCTTCCGGCTGGTGGAGAAATACGGGCTCCTAGTGGGCGGGGCTGCCGCCCACCGCTACGACCTTGGCGGGCTGGTGATGGTGAAGGACAACCATGTCATGGCAGCTGGTGGTGTGAAAAAGGTGTCTATCTGACCAGCTGAGCCCCTACCCTGGCCATGCTCCAACCCCATCCCCCATCACAGTCCTTCCCCGATACCAGGGACCTCCAGCCACTCCCTGGTGAAATAGTGATGGCTTGGGGGGTGGGGGTTGCAAGCCTCCTCGACCCCTCAGAGGTTCCATCTGTGAAGGACTGGGAGGGGTTGGACTTGCTTCTCCTCCAGCCTTCTTCAGCTGGTTGGTACGCTGCTCAAGGGCAAAGGACGAACTATTGGGAACCCGGTGGGGATGACTCTACCTTGGGCAGGTCACTCAAACTCCCTGGACCTGTTTCCTTCATGTGAAACTGCTTGAAGACCTCTTTGAGTCTTAATATTCTGAGTTGATTGAACTCAGGTCCAAATGCCAAAGTGTGCTGAATCTGGCCTTTTTTTGTCTTACAAAAATGGTAATTTCATATGGTTTCCCCTAATGTGTGTGTGCTAATGTGCAAGAAGCCATTTCCATGCCCAGTTTCCTCATGAACCCCAAGTGTTAGTCACTCAGTCACGTCCGACTCTTTGCCACCCTATGGACTGTAGCCTGCCAGGCTTCTCTGTCCACGGGATTCTCGAGGCAAGAATATGGAGTGGGTTGCCATGGACCCCAAGCTCATTATCTATCTGGGGCCTTTCACGTGCCAGTCCCAGCACCCGTCTCACTGTCACCCCTGCGGCCTGCCAGGCGGTGCGGGCAGCCCGGCGGGCAGCCGACTTCGCCCTGAAGGTGGAGGTGGAATGCAGCAGCCTTCAGGAGGCTGTGGAGGGGGCCGAGGCAGGAGCGGACCTCGTCTTGCTGGACAACTTCAGGCCTGAGGTGAGGCCAGGGCGGCTTCCTGGGGAGGGGCAGGGTCGGGGGCTCTCACCTCTCCCCGGTTCGTGTCCCGCAGGAGCTGCACCCCACGGCCGCCGCGCTGAAGGCCCAGTTCCCCAGTGTGAGTGTGGAGGCCAGTGGGGGCGTCACGCTGGACAACCTCCCGCAGTTCTGTGGGCCCCACATCGATGTCATCTCTTTGGGGATGCTGACGCAGGCGGCCCCGGCCCTTGATTTCTCCCTCAAGCTGTTTGCTGAAGGGGCCACTCCTGTGCCCCACACCCACCGGTCCTAAAGCCGAGGAGGCTACCCAGGTAGTAGGATAAGGTGCTTTCATGGGACCCTCAAGGTTTCTTTAAGTCCAGCAGCCAACAGGACACTTTGGCGTTAGACTGTGCTGAGGCCGGCTCTGCCACGCACTGCCTGGGGGACTGCGAAGGACTGACTTCACCTCTGCTCACTTCAGTTTCCTAATCTGTAAAATGGGTCTAATCAACCTTACGGACTTCTTGGGGGTGATAATTAGCACAGAGTAAATGCTCAGTAAATGTTAGAAATTGTCATCATTCATCTGTTCTAAGATGAACTTTTTTTTTTCCCTCCACCCACTGAAGTCGCCTTTAACTAACAGCGTCTAATGGTCCTTGTCAGACAGACATGGGTTGTTACGTAACCCTCGTGGTCTGTGCATGTGGCTTGTAGGTACGACATGATAATGATCTATGTGGAAATTAGTCCAAAAGAACTCTTTCAACAAGTATAAGATAGAAATTGTAAGTAATAAGAAAGGACTGATTTGACAGTTTTCTTTTTGATTGAGTGTGTGTATTTTGGGGCTTCCCAGGTGGTGCAGTCGTAAAAGAATCTACCTGCTGATGTAGGAGATGCAAGAGACATGGCTTCGATAGCTGGGTTGGGAAGATCCCTTGGAGGAGGAAATGGCAACCCATTCTAGTATTCTTACCTGGAAAATCTCATGGACAGAGGAGCCTGGTGGGCTACAGTCCATGGGGCTGCAGAGTTGGACATGACAGAGCATGCAACGCAACATGATGTATGTTTTACAATCAATGGTGTTTTATATTTGAGGATATGTGGACCCAGCCTGATGTCCAGCTGTAATGTTACACTTGGTTGATGCCCATGTTGTACTGATGACTAAGTATTTCATGTTTCGCCTCTGGCTACTATTACCATCTCTTTGGTTGGAGGTGAGAACCTGTTCATTCCTCACTTTTGGGGTCCCCACCTGACTCCACCACCCATCCTTCCCCAGATGAAACTCCCATTGGGTGCTGAAAGCCTTTTAGGGTATCATTAGTTGGGAGAGGTACACAGCTGCTGAGCCTCTGAGAGGACCAGAACCAAGGTCAGTTAGGGAGTAAGGAAAGGATGGGTGGGGGCCCAGGTTCAGACATCAAACTTCATTCCGTGCTAGGTCAGGACTCAGAGGTCTAAACAGAGGGTCTAAATCCAGCCCCCCAAGCACACATGTACACACGCACCACTGAGGTCTTGCCCATTTGTGTGGCCACTCCTACCCTCACCTCAAACCTCTCTCTGACCCATCTGGGTGGCTCTGGGAAGAACAAGAGCATGAAGGGCCCCAAGGGTGAAGGTGGTCCCCAGGGTGCTTCCTTCTGGAAGGGCTTCAGTCTGGAGTCAACTATCCCCTCCCAGAATCTACTCTCTTCTCCACCCTTTGCCAGTAGGAAAGAAAAACAGCACCCATAGAGGCTCCTTCTTCAGGGGGAGATTGGGGGTCCCAGTCTGTCTTGAGGGATCTATTCTACCCCTCTGCCCCCTTTTCAACCCTGGAGACCAATGATGGGAAAGGAGCAGATCAAGAAAACATCAAGCTCACCCCAGATGGGAAAGCGCCAGACAGGCCAATACCTTCATCTTTCAAGCATCAGATGTGTGCTGAGCGCCTGCCATGGCTAGGCTCTGAGCACACAGTGGAGATTCATCTAGCAAAGATGCCGGGCAGAAGTGGCTGCTGCCTTGGCTGATGTCCTGAACTAAAGGGGCTATTCTCACAGGACACGAACCAGAGATGCCACCTGGGCTACACCTATGCTGCAATACACACCTCCACCCCAAAGCCCTCCTGTCCTGCCTCCAGAGAAACAAGGACTGTCTCCGCTAGGTAGCCTTTCCCGCTCCAGGGATCTTAGATCTTCAAGGACCAGCTCCTCCGACCTGCAGGGGGATAACTGAACCCTCATGGAACTGGGTGTCAGGACAGAAATGGGGACCCAAGATGAGCAGGGAACTGAAAGGCAAAACCCTTGGGGTCAAGAGGGAGTCAGAGTCTAGTAGAGGCAGAAGGGAGACGTGTACCAGGAGTCTCAAACTCAAATGCCTCTAGGATCCAAGCACATGACACAAATGGGGGAGGCTGGAAGAAGACTCAAGGAAGAGAACTGTGGCCAACTGGAGAATGTGGGCGGCACCCACAGCATCCCAATTAAAATAGAAAAAAGCAGGCTGCCAGGCTGATTCTCAAGCTCACCCTTGAACAGAAAAATGAACCCAGACCTCCCAACCTGATCCTAAATGCAAGCACTGGGAGGGGATTCCCCCACCTGCCTCGAAGAAAAGGGAGCCTGGGAAGGCAAAAGCAATTCATGCTCTCCTTGCAATGGTGGATTTCCAGGCAGAGGAGACTGTGTGGGCAAAGGGTCAGAAGTGGGAAATGGCTTGGATTGTTTGGTTAAGATTTGAAGCTGGGATCAGGAGAGGCAAGATGACTAGGAGCTGGGCAGCATCCAGACCACAAAATGGTAGGTCAGAGGACTTGGACTCTGTCCCGAGAACAATCAGATTGAAGCTGGAAAATGAGATAAGCATATTTGCAGGAAGATCTATTTGAGGGGGCCAGAGTGACTGTAGGCAGGCCAAGGGAAGGCTGATACCACTACTCAAGGGCTTGAATGTGGGTCATGGCAGGTGGTTATCAAGAAGGGAGGGCAAGTCGGTGAAACAGCATCTGCAAAGGTTCAGAGGGCAGATGGAGCCTGATGGGTTCAGGGCCAGAGGAAAACTGGGTGTGGCCGTGAGGGTGAGGAGACAGGGGTGAATGGCCGAAGTCTCACATCTCACCTGGTATCTATCTGCTATCTTCCTTCTTCCCTGACAAGCCTGAGACTAGATGACTTCCACAGGCTGCTCCCCATCCAGCATAAAGCCCATGCCCATTAAAGCAAACATGTCCATCAAATCAGGTGCAAATCAAGGCAGCATATACTGCATCATCACTGCCGGCGGCTGGGGGAGAAGGGAACGCACATTTATTTAACTGGGGGCCTTTGCTCAGCACGATAGGTCTCATTCTCAGTTCATGCTTATGGAAGTGGGGATGTTAGTATCTCCAATTTGCTCAGGAAACTGAGGCTTTATGAAGTTAAGAATGCCACTCAGGGTCAATAAAGTGGAGGACCAGATTCAAAAATAAGTATTTGTTGAAAGCCTACTCTGTGCCAGGCAGTATCCTAGCCGCTGGATATACAACAATGAGCAAACGGTGAAAAACCCTGGTCTCAGGGAGTTTATATTCTAGTGGGGGGGCTCTGTGTGTGGGCGGGGCGGGGTAGGGGACTGAATAGACAATGGAGTGGCGAGCGGAGAATAGACAATGAAAAAAATACCTAAGAATACCGCCAAATACCCTTACGGCCACCAGAGGGCACTGCAGTCACAGCACCGTCCATTCCGCTCTGATTCCATCTTCCTTTCAGATTTCAAAGATCCTAAGCTAAAAGGCTATGAATAATGTGCAGCATCTGCCCAAGAAGGAAAGCTGAGGAGGGGTGTGCGCCAGGCAGGTCTTCCACCCACTTTTCCAGCTTAATCCCCTCATCAGATCCCCCTCCAACTGCTTAGGGTATCTCAGTGACTTCAAGACCCTGTGTACTCCAGAGACCCCCAAGACTCATTCAACTCACCAAACTTCCCATGCTCTACACCTCCCCCACCCCATTCTGCTAACACTTCCTCACCTGCCCAGGGCCCTTCCATCCACCCACCCCCCTTCCATGCATCCATTTCCCGTCCCACCCCTCCACCCAATCCAACTACTGGAACACTATGTGTGCAGGGTCAGGGAAGACAAGAGATCAAACTAGGTTGGCAGAGCCAGTGAACTCAGTGGGCATGAGCTTTAGTGAGTCAAGGCCACAGAAAGCTGAAAGGATTTTAAAACGGCAAGACATTATTGGCAAACCAAACTGTATCTGAAAACAATTCAACTTTGGATCTTTAAAAAATCCCACTGTGCTATTATGTGGTGTGGACACATATATTAATTTATTGCTAGCCCTTCAAGACAGTAGGTAAAATTCCATAAATGTTTCAACATCTCCGTACATCATTCCAATCACTTCCTGAGGAATAGAACATTTTGGCAGTTACTCAGTAACTGCTTTTAAAAGCTGCTTTCTGAGGCCCTAAGTAACTCAGCTTGTAAAACCAAACTACAAGGATCTGAAGAGAATCTGACCGTGAGGCTCTAAATATTTCCATTGATCTCTGTGCACAGTAGATTTACTCCAGGTAACGTGGGCTTTATTTCAGGTAGGTAGTGCTCTTTGGATCCCTGGATCTAGTACAGCGCACTCAGGGAATGATCAGAGGCAAAGATCCTCTTATGTACCTCTAGTTTGGTGGGTCACTGGGTAACCTATTTCTTCTTCCAGCTCTTGAGCTAAAATTTTCAAAAGATTTAGCACCAGCAAAGATCTATCTCATAAATCACTTGCTTCTTAATATTTGGCTGCTTATTAACCAAAGAAAAGATTCTTTTAGAATACTACATCAGTATATAAAGAACAATGCTGAAACGTCCCTGGTGGTCCAGTGGTTAAGAATCCAACTGCCAATGCAGGGGACATGGGTTTGATCCCTTGTCCGGGAAGATTCCACATGCTGTGGGGCAACTGAGCCCGTACTCCACAACTACTGAGTCTGAGCTCTAGAACCCATGCTCTGCAACAAGAGAAACCACTGAAATGAGAAACCTGAAAGTGGCAATTAGAGAAAGCCCTCGCAGTAACAAAGACCCATCGTAGCCAGAAGTAAACAAGGAAAGAACAATGTTGATTTCTTAAAGGCTGGATAAAAATCATGCTTCCCACATTAAAACAAAACAAAAGACAATTTTAAAGCCCCTTAACTGTAATCTTACCAAGACAAAAATATCTATTTTATTTTTTGCATGATTTGCTTTGTTTTCTCAGAATATTAGAATTCATTGAGCTTTGGCAGCTTTTGAGGTAAAGGATTGCACTAAAGTTA